TCTCATGTATTTGTCAACAGAGTTGTTGCGTTTTTTCTTTCTGTGTGCTAACAATTTTGGCGGTGTTTCCGTATTGTAGCATTTCTGCAAACAATTTCTGTTACCAAGGTCTGCGCCGAAATTGTCAAAAACAGAAATTGTTTGCTGGGTACAAATTTAGGCTATTTATATCTCAATTTTAATCTATACATACGTCACCAACTATGAAAAAATTAATACCTAAATGTTTTTAAAATATCTCGTGAGAGATCTGTACAAAAAATTGATTATTTAACTTAAATTCTTTTGAATTGTAAATGATGAGATCGTACATGTACAACTTTAGGTTATTTATATCTCAATTTTCAATCTATACATAAGTCGCAAATTATAAAAAGATTAATACCTAAATGTTTTTATAAAGTATCTCGTGAGAGATCTGTACAAAAAATTGATTATTTAACTTAAATTCTTCTAAATTGTAAATGATGAGATCATACATGTACATAAATTACAATATTTACATAAATTTTAATACTCACATCAATTTTAAATTGTCTTATATCGTTTTTTGGACTGTCGATGTCTCTTATCTTTATAGAACAAATTTTTTTCTGATATTCAAGTTTAATTATAGAAGCAAAATCAGTTTATAAAGTTTCTTGAGTACAGTATTTTTATTTTAGAGCATTCAATGATTTCACTTTGGAGATGGCTCATTGCAGTTGTAGTACCACTTTTCATCTTGTCTTGGGGATACAGCAAGAAAAGTGTAAAATTCAACAGTGCGATCCTTGGTATGTAACACAAAATTTAATGTGTACGACAAGAAGATATATACAAGTATAAAGTAACTGATGTTTATACTAATTGTTTGAGATGATAATTCATGGTAATTTTTTTTTATGTATTCGTATGAGTTGACATTCGTTCGACGTAAATTATAAAAGAAGCAGTTACGTTAACTTACGTAAATTATACAAGAAGCGGTTGCATTAACTTTTTTCCTGAAGTTTTGTGCAATAAATTTTAGTTTGTATTTTTTTCTTGGTCTGGCTGTGCGAATTCAGAGTTCATCTTACTTTTTTGTTGGTCTGACTGTGCAAGTTCAGAGTTCATCTTTTTCACTCTAAGTGGAAAAAAAAAAGATAAAATAACTAAGGAATGAATAAAAGAATAAGATCATACGAGCCGCTTTGCAGGATGTTATGCTGAAATGTTCTATTATATATATGTATACATATATATAATATATGTAAACATATATATAATATTAATTATATATATATATATATATATGTATACATATATATAATAGAACATTTCAGCATAACATCCTGCAAAGCGGCTCATATGATCTTATTCTTATTCATTCCTTAGTTATTTCTTCAAGAGAAGCCTTAAGTTTTTTTATTAATTGTTAAAAAAGATAAACTTTGAACAACGTGACTAGTTTAATAAAAAATAACTAATTATTTGTGAGAAACTTTTTATCTAGCTTTATTATGATTGCATAAAAAAATATCTAAAGACCAAATCGATTTGTAAGAAGTCTATGTATTGCTAAAAAATTATTTAAGTTCTGAAGATGAGTGGCCTAAGTATAGTAGAATGCACTAAATTGTTCCGCGTTCAGGGAAAGCAATTCTTCGATCGCCCCTTACTATCGCGCGACTCTCTTCTTCGATCTTCATCAATAGCTTGAGATCCCATTCATCTACTGACGCGAAAGAAAAAACGGCTCGCGATAGAAGAAGTCTAGAGGAGAATTACTTAAGTTAATAATGAAGAAGAATAAGAGATTCTTCGAGGCTCGGAAATCTTTAAACTAATGAATGAATTAAATTCGGGTTGTTTGAGCCGTTTTGCAGGATGTTGTGCAGAGAATGTGCTTAAATATATATATATGCATACACATATATTTAACGAAATAATTTTGTATTAAAGAGAGAATTACTTACCCTAATGCGGAACGATATGGNATATATATATGTATACATATATATAATAGAACATTTCAGCATAACATCCTGCAAAGCGGCTCATATGATCTTATTCTTATTCATTCCTTAGTTATTTCTTCAAGAGAAGCCTTAAGTTTTTTTATTAATTGTTAAAAAAGATAAACTTTGAACAACGTGACTAGTTTAATAAAAAATAACTAATTATTTGTGAGAAACTTTTTATCTAGCTTTATTATGATTGCATAAAAAAATATCTAAAGACCAAATCGATTTGTAAGAAGTCTATGTATTGCTAAAAAATTATTTAAGTTCTGAAGATGAGTGGCCTAAGTATAGTAGAATGCACTAAATTGTTCCGCGTTCAGGGAAAGCAATTCTTCGATCGCCCCTTACTATCGCGCGACTCTCTTCTTCGATCTTCATCAATAGCTTGAGATCCCATTCATCTACTGACGCGAAAGAAAAAACGGCTCGCGATAGAAGAAGTCTAGAGGAGAATTACTTAAGTTAATAATGAAGAAGAATAAGAGATTCTTCGAGGCTCGGAAATCTTTAAACTAATGAATGAATTAAATTCGGGTTGTTTGAGCCGTTTTGCAGGATGTTGTGCAGAGAATGTGCTTAAATATATATATATGCATACACATATATTTAACGAAATAATTTTGTATTAAAGAGAGAATTACTTACCCTAATGCGGAACGATATGGCGCGCTCTACTGTACTGCTTAATTTTGCAGATTACATGTTGTAACATATTATGTAGTTTATTAATTCATTGTTCACTTTTGGAATACTGTAGGTTCCGTCATGGGTTTTATCTTAACACTTTCAAGCTATGCTCAGGGAGCAGCATTTTTAACATTCTTCATCATTGGAACAAAAGCGACACTGTTCCGACCTGTAGAAAAGAAGAAAATCGAAGCTGATTTTAAGGAAGGAGGACAGCGTAACTGGACGCATGTAATCTGTAATGGCGGTATGGCTACTCAGTTGGCTCTGTTACATTTCCTAGATGTTGGTAGTGGAGATCGACCTATAGACTTCAACAACGAATATCGAAGTTCATGGTTGTCTGTTGCTATATTAGGTAAATGTCGTCATCTTCAGTCTTATGGATGTGTATATTTAAATGATTAAACAAAATGTTTTGTAGGAGCGGTTACGTGTTGTTGTGGCGATACGTGGGCTTCAGAACTTGGTACTGTGATCAGTAAAGGCGATCCTTTCCTTATTACAACAAGGAAAAGAGTGCCAAGAGGTAAAAATGCTAATTTTGTTTGTGTTCGAAAACAAACGCAAATACAATAAATATTTTATATTTAGGAAAGTTTCTATTAGACTACTTTTAGTACAATAAAAGATCGTAAAAACTGAGATAACATTAAAATTTTTGTGCTTTATTTTTCAAGGAACAAGCGGGGCAGTATCATGGACGATTTTTTTATGTGCTTTTCTTGGTGGTTCAGTAGTTGGTTTGGTTTATTACGTTGTGATATTGTACACCGTTGACACGACTGTACTGGAAGTATCATCACCACAATGGCCCATCATACTCGTTGGAGGATTTGGAGGTTTTTTCGGTAGTTTATTCAATTCTGTTCTTGGCGCGACTGTGAACTATTCAGGTAAATGTGTTTTCAAGTTATATCACTTTTGTCTTCTTGTGATTTTCTTACTTTGAATTGAAAAATAACTATTTTGATTTTCGAGCAATTTTTACCACATCGCATCAGAAAAATGTGTAAAATGTGACCGTGTATTTTAAGGAGTCAACGAGGAAGGTCTCATAGTAAAACGACCGGGAAAAGGCGTAAAACATATAAGCGGTAACGAAGTCTTCGATAACCAGAGTATAAATCTTTTTTGTAGCATTGGAATCGCTCTTATTCTTCCGCAAATAGCCAAAGTTTTCTGGCCAAGTTTCTGATGTATTTTAGAAACTAAAAGAAAGAAGAGTTGATATGGGAAACATTAAAGTTTTAATATAAGGAATGGTAATAATTTCAATCTTCAGTAAAAAATGTTACTCTAATGAATAACACGCTCAATATCGAGAGTTTTATTATTTTTGCTGTTGGTATTTTTCTAATTAGGGTTTTTATATTTGTATTATTGTTATGTAATGGTTGTGCACGCAAAAGCATTTTGTGAACTGTACGTTTTTATTTTATTAAGTGACTGGCATCATTACTATTATTAAAAGTACAACTTTTTATGTGACGTAGGTATTGGAACTAATATGTATATGTATAGATCTATGTATTTTACAACAGGTTTGTAAAATAAAACTTTTGAATTCTTTTATTAAATATCGTATAATCAGCATTCTTGTGTTTGTATTTTTAAACACGATACGTATGTATCGTATATATCATATGTGTATACATATGATATATTACATATTTGTCACAAGATATATTGCTTTTTCTTTAGTTAAAACTTACCGATAAATATTTGTATATTATTTCTATTGTTTCCTTGTTGTTTCGCGGTCAATGAGTACGCGAAGGAGACAGCGCGATAGAAAAAGTCGGTGCGTACATACGCGAGCAACGTATAAAAAATGTATATAATATATTACGTATGTTACATTAGGTTTTTTTTCCCTGAACTGGCTGCACACTAGTTCACAGTCTATCGTTCTTTACCCATATTAGAAAGAAAAAAAGAGACTGTGAACTAGTGCATCCAGTTCAGGAAAGAAAACAAACCTATTGTATACATGAAGTATACGAGATTAAAAACAAACAAACGTATTGCGCAACCCATAGACATATATGTCTATGGGCCGATTTCTTCATACACCTCTCGATAGCTATTCTCTGGATAAATTCCTCTGAGAACCAATAAGGAGAACCAATTTTGGGAGATATCTTCTAGATAAAGTTATCGAAAACTTATCTAGAAGTGAAAAAATTGGCTGTATGTGTGCGCAACATGCAAAAGACTTCGCGCGAAAGGTATCGTCGTACGCAAAGTTAGATATGTAATCGTTGTGAGCTCATTATTCCGCAATTTCCAGTCTAAAGTTATAAGTCTATGGGCCGGTTGTCCCATCTTTCGATAGTGATAGCCGTTAACCATCGTCGCGGAAGTATCGATTCTCGGTCTTCTTCAATCGACAACATAATTTTTATTTAGATTCCTTAGCATATAATTTTGCTATAATATTCTTTATATCTACATTTAGACACAGACTGGCGTATGGACTAACCGATTTCGGTCCAAGAGCCATAAGAGCGCGCCAAAACCAAAAACCACCTTTCGATAAATCTCAGCTTACTCGACAGATTATTATCTATAGGATAAGAACTTGACTAGCGCGTCTCCCACTGTTTTTTATTTCTATATATTTATCTGTTAGATATGACTTACACGGTACCGAGAGTGCCGTGTAATTTATCTTTTGGTTTCTGATCATTTACCAAATACGGGCCGGTTGTTCCACTTTCAGATAAACTATCGGGTAATCCATTTAATGGTTAACTCTGATTTGCGTTGTTCCACGTGTCGGTAAAATTTACATATCTGGTAAATGACCAGAAACCAAAAAAGATAAATTACACGGCACTCTCGGTACCGTGTGAGTCGTATCTAACAGATAAATATGTAAAAATAAAAAACAGTGGGAGATGCGCTAGTCAAGCTCTTATTTTATAGATAATAACCTGTCGAGTAAACTGAGATTGATCGACACGTGGAACAATGCAAATCAGAGTTTTAACTATTAGATAGATTACCCAATAGTTTATCTGAAAGTAAAACAACCGGCCCTATGTCATAAATATATACATATGAATAATTATCTCTCTCTCTCTCTCTCTATATATATATATATATACCCAGCAAACAATTTCTGTTTTTGACAATTTCGGCGCAGACCTTGGTAACAGAAATTGTTTGCAGAAATGCTACAATACGGAAACACCGCCAAAATTGTTAGCACACAGAAAGAAAAAACGCAACAACTCTGTTGACAAATACATGAGAGTATTGCAGCCAAAACGATTCCATATATGTCAGTGAAATTAACAACAAATAGATGGTCGATTGCAAGCAGATCTGCTTTTGGCAATACTGTGACCAAACAGTCCGCAAAATTGTATCAGAAATCTGTTTACGACAAAAGTCGGGTTGATCTGTTAAACGCATTGACGACAGATTGCCACCAAACGCCAAGCAGGTCTGTTCGTGTATACGTGCGGACTGTTTGCAATTTGGCGCCAACAGACAATGACCAAACCTATTCCGGATTTTGGCTTCACTTTGGCGATAATTTGGCCTCGCTTTGCTTGTGGCAGACTCTGTCATTATTTTGGTCGCATTTTGACATTTCACATGTTGACAGACATGATTAACAAACCATATCCTACTGAGGACACAGATGGATATGGTTCTGTGACCGAAATGTTTGCTGGGTATATATATATATATATATATATTATAGAAAATAAATAAATAAATAATTGAATGAAATAAATAAATGCGCGCATTTATTTTCTCTACATGTCACGTATAATATAGATAAGTGCGCGTACACGCGTGAAACGGAACGCAACTATAGAATGCATTTCGTCATTTACTGTTAATATTGAAAAATTGTAATTCACGTCGCATTTATTATAGATTCTTAGTGAGCAATCATGGAATGAGTTGGTTTGACCAAGATTGATGTAGGTGACTAACAGCAGGCGTTTATGCGCGTGATGAAAAAGATCGTGCTAGTAATTAGATGCCAGATCGGGGACGCTTGCAGCATGCTCAACAAGTAGAGGGGATACACATACGAAACGCACACAAGCGAACAGCCGTGTACGTGTGTGCTTAGCGCTTCGGCGAGTGGCTACTCGCTTGTGTGCGTATCCCCTCCACTTGCTGCAGCATGCAGCCCGATTTGTCATCTGTGGCATCTAGTATCACGATAGTATAAATCTTATATTCGGCATTGGGAGAGAATTGTGATCTTTTGTGTTGCACACATGGTGGGAGAAGGTGGATCTGCAATCACTTGACACAATGACTTCTTCAATTGAAAATCGCAACGACCACGTGTTGGTGCCAGTCCTCTTAAGTGCCTGCGCTATCCCGATTTTTATGATGTTTTGGATAATAAATGTGGCTTACTCAATATTGCGGCCGGATTCTGAAAGCCATATAGAAGGTTCATATACGTTTTTAATATTAATTATTATTAATTAATAATTAACGTTAACATTATCTGACTGCTTAGCAATAATTCTATTTTCTTACAGGCTAGTTGTAAAAATTTGTGTTTACAAGTGTTGTTCTAAACAAAATTTTTTATAACTTTTTATAATAATAAATTTCACAAAATAAAAATGAAAACAAAGTTATTATGTACATATGTATATATGTACATGATGTAATAGAGTGTTTTGTGGTTGTTTTAGTACATGTTTTTTTGTGAGAATATTATACCATGTTTACTGTGTGCTGTATCTAAAGCCCCTTGCACAATGGAAGGAATAGCGATAGCGATAGAAATAACACAGTTTTAGACACAGAATTCCAACTCGTCGGAAATTTTATAGCTATTGCTTATTCTGATTTTCTAATCTGCATTGATACATGTGTATTTTTGTACGTTAGATTCCGCTGTTCCTACCGTTATTTATAAATATAAACTCTTTACAACTGGTATTATTTCTATCGCTATCGCTATTCCGTCTATTGTGCAAGGGGCTTAAACTGTTTTGCCACAGAAGCTTTTTTTTGTACATTGTTTAACTTGTCTTACATTTCAGTTCATAATCTCGGTTTACATTTAAGATGATTTGTTTTGTGATATATTTAATGTGCTCAACAGTTAATAGGCTTTTAGAGCACAAACATTGGTACTCTAGTCTTTTGAAGTTATCCTTTACTAAAGAACAAGTTTGGTTTTGTGATTTAGTAAGAAGTCAAAGTTGAACAAGTTTGGTTTTGGTATCAGTGGAATCTTAAGAAAGTTTGATAGCAAAACAATTTAACAAATGTAGCTTATAAATATGGTAGTTTTTGTTATTATTAGTGTAAAACTATATACATTTATACACAACTAAAACTATATACATTTATCTTATTTATATTACAGATAGTTATTTTCTTTATTGCTATAAAAATAATGGAAGAAGATAAAAAGCCCATTAGTTTAATAGCTCAACAATGATAGTTTAGAAGATAATAGAAACTGAGATCTATAGAAATACATCATAAACTATGAAAAAATTAATACCTAGATGTTTCAAAGAATCTTGTGAGAACTGTACAAAAATTTAAATATTCAAAATTAATTCTGTTGAATTGTAAATGATGATATCATACATGTTCATAAATTAGAATATTCACATAAAGTTTAATAACCATATGAAGTGTAAGCTATTTTATATATATTTTTTTTTTGTAGTTTTGATGTTTCTAAACCTTGTGTAACAGATTTCTTTTGTTATTTAAGTTCAGTTATAGAACCAAACTCTGTTTATAATATTTCTTATATTTATTATTTTTATTTTAGATCGTTCAGGGATTTCACCATGGAGATGGCTACTTGCAGTTGTAATACCATTTCTATTATTATTTTGGGGATACAGGAAGAAAGGTATAAATATCATTGGAGGAATTTTTGGTACGTAACACAATATATACTTTGTAAGATAAGAAGATATGTACAAATATAAATTGTATTTATGGGGTTATTTAATAATTGAATGATATGATAATTCATGGTAATTATTTCATCTTATTCATACAAGGTGACATTTGTTTATGTAGATTATAAAAAAAGCAGTTTCATTACTTTTTTTCCTGTTGTTGTTGTTGTGCAATTGTTTTTAGTTTGTACTTTTTTACTGAAAACTGGCTGTGCAAGTTCAGAGTTAATCTTTTTCACTATAATAAAGAAAAAATGATACACTTTGAACTGGTGTGACTAGTTTAAAAAGAACAAATCATTTGTGAGAAACTTTTTATCTTAGCTTCATTATGATTTTATTAAAAAATGTCTAAAGATCAAATCGATCTGTAAGAAGTCTATGTATTGCTAAAAAATTATTTAAATTTTGAAGCTAAGTGGCCTAAGTATAGTAGAATGCACTATATTGTTCCGCGTTCAAAGGAAGTAGTTCTTATCTGACTGCATCTTATTATCGCGCGCCGATTTTCTCTAATCTCCACCAATGACCCGAGATCCGATTCATCTACTGACGCGGAAGAAATTGGCGTGCGATACGAGGTGGCCGGAAAAGAACTACTTCTCTTGACGCGGAACGATATGGTGCACTCTACTGTACTGCTTAATTTTGTAAATTACGTGTTGCAACATATTATGTGGGTTATTAATTGTTTAATTATTGACATTGTAGGTTTCGTTATGGGTTTTATCTTAACACTTTCAAGCTACGCTTATATAGCAGCAGTTGGAACATTCTTCGTCACTGGATCGAAAGCGACTAAGTTCCGATCTGTAGAAAAGAAAAAAATCGAAGCTGATTTTAAGGAAGGAGGACAGCGTGGATGGGCGCAAGCGATCTGTAATTGCGGTTTGGCTACTCAGTTGGCTCTATTACATTTGCTAGAAGTTGGTAGTGGAGAACGACCTATAGACTTCAACAGCGAGTATCGAAGTTCATGGTTGTCCGTTGGTGTATTAGGTAAATGTTGAAAATCATCTTCAATTTTATAAATATGCACATTTAAATTACTGGACAAAATGTTTTGTAGGAGCGTTTGCATGTTGTTGTGGTGATACATGGGCTTCAGAGTTTGGTACTGTGCTCGGTAAAAGCGATCCTTTCCTTATTACAACTTGGAAAAGAGTGCCAAGAGGTAGAACTATTAATGTTTTATGTGTTCGATACGCAAATACAATAAATATTTTATATTTAAATATTTAAATATTTTATATTTAGGAAAGTTTCTATTAGACTACTTTTAGTACAATAAAAGATCATAAAACCTAGAATAACATTAAAATTTTTGTGTTTTATTTTTCAAGGAACAAACGGTGGTGTATCGTGGATGGGTCTTTTATGTTCTTTTCTTGGTGGTTTAGTGGTTGGTTTGGTTTATTACGTGGTGATATTGTGCACCGTCGACACGACTGTACTAGAATTGTCAGCACCACAATGGCCTATTATACTCTTTGGAGGATTTGGAGGTTTTATCGGTAGTCTATTAGATTCCTTTTTTGGCGCGACGTTACAATATTCAGGTAAATGTACCTTCAAGTTTTTTCATTTTTGTCCGCTTGTTTTTTTGTCACTTTGATTTGGAAGATAAACATTTTTATTCTCGAGCACTTTTTTTCATATCGCATCAGACATATTTGTAAAATGTGACCATGTATTTTTAGGAATCAACGAGAAAGGTCTTATAGTAGAACGACCGGGAGAAGGCGTAAAACATATAAGCGGTAAACAAGTTTTGGATAACCACAGTGTAAATCTTCTTGCTAGCATTGGAATCGTTCTTATTCTTCCGCGAATAGCCGACGTTTTCTGGCCAAGTTTCTGATCTAGTTTAGAAACTAAAAGAGGAAGAAGAGTTTATATGAGAAACATAAAAGTTTTAATAGAAGAAGTGTTACTAATTTTAATTCCCAGTAACAAATATTACTCTAATGGAAATCACGCTCAATCGCGAGATTGTTAGTATATAATTTATTTTGCTACACCCATTGACGGCTAAGAAAGGACTTGGTTTATAATATTAATTATCCGTATCTCTTATCCATTTATTCAATCCATCCAATTATACCTTATGAACTATTTTGTTTCGCATCTATATCCTATTACATAATTTCGGTATATTCCTTACTCTACTTTTTAATTTTACACTTTTACCTGTACTTATGTCTATACCCTACTTATCCCTATACCCTATACAATATTTATATTTTTTGTTTGCTACTTCTCTTCATAAATACTTATAAAATTTTACCTTAGTTAATTTACAATAGTTACAGAAACTTACAAAACTTGATTTACTTATCAAGACTTACTAAAACTTATCTAACTTAACATTATCTTCTTATGGAGCAAGTCTTAACTTAAACTTATACTTAACTATCAAACAATTAAATCTCACTTTCCTTTTGACTAGCACTTAGTACTTCTTCTTTCATTTTTTTCCTTATCCGTACCTCTCTCTTTTTCCACAGTCTTACTAAGATCGTACCCTTCCTTTCGTACGATTTATCACTTCCTATATTTCTTTCTTCTTTCTTCTTTCCTTTATATTGTCCTCTAAGCTAACAAACCAATCCTTTACTACCTCGCGTTCTCCTACATAATGTTTTAAATCATCCCATCCTATGCCGCAAAAGATGCATCTTTTTTTTATCATTCTCAAGCATTCAGTACTTGTTCGAAACTGTTAGTATTTTTGCTTACGTTATTTTTTGTATTAGGATTTTTATATTTGTATTATCGTTATGGAATGATTAAAGTTGTATATGGAAAAACATTTTGTGAACTGTGCGTTTTTAATTTGTTAAATATAATGTAACTATACAGTATATGATTGGCATTGCTATATTAAAACCAGAACTTTTTTATGTGATGAAAATATTGAAACTAATATATAAGTATAGATCTGTATTTTACGACAGTTTTGTAAAACTGTGAATTTCTTTATTTTGATATTATCAAAATATTTACAAACTATCATATCGACATTCTTGTGTGTTTGCATTTTTAAACACGAAACATATACATATGATATATTACATATTTGTCACGAGATATATCGCATTTTCTTTAGTTAAAACTTACAGATAAATATTTGTATATCGTTTCTATTGTCCTTTGAAAAAATCATGTTGTCTTTAATTAAAAAGTTAAATGATAAAATGTTCAATTAAAAGTTAACTAATAAATGTTTATATCTTTATTATTATTATTTGTTCGGAAGAAATTAATCACATTTTTCCTCACTTAAAAATTACTGATAAATACATGTGTATGTCTGTATTGTTTTCGGAAAATGCAATAAGATCTTTAGGAATAATGTATACATATACATATATAAATATACATGTACACAACGCGTCAATGAATCGCGGAATAGGCGCGGGAATCGGGGGGCAAGCGGGGCGGTTGTTCATAGCGCTAACGCCCTTACGAAAAAGAATTACTGGCAGTAATATATTGCGGCAGTGGTACGAAAGAATTACTGGCATTCTGTGTAATTGCCAGTAATATTCTCAGTGATTCCTGTAATACCTAATAATATTCTTGTGTGATTGTCAGTAATATTTATATTACTGACTTTATTTATATGTAATCGGCAATATAGAGTTCTTTTTCGTAAGGGCGAGCGCCGTGCGAACTAACTAGTAGCAATCGGTTGTCCACATCTACGTCGTGTCGATAATGTAACTGCTCTTTCTTCCTATTTTCTTCTCAAAACGTAAAAGTATTAGCCATTTACTTAATATTTAACGTTGACAAATACCATGTGTATATGTATATATGTGTTTAATAGATGAATCTATAATGTTTCCGGTAAATAGAAGGAACGTATATTGTAAAAGTCTTATTTAAAAAAATATATATTTAATATTAATATTCATATGTAGCCACTACATAAATATAATTCTATTGTATTATTATTTTATTCTATTATATCTATATATTATTGTGTATACAATTAAATATATGTAAAAATCGAAACATTAAAAAATGAATAGGGCAAACCGTACATAAATAAGATGAAAAAGATATAACAAATAAATATATTATAACAAATAGATATATGCCAACTGTTGAACGTATTCAGAGGAACACTCACGGACACAAAAATCATACAAAAGAAATTAATTATATATATATAAGAAATTAATTATATA